AAAAAAAGAGAAAAAAAAAAAATTGAAATGAAGAGTAATTGAAAGAAAATTGTCGCCCTTCACTTGTATCTCGAAGAAATCGACTCAAAGAAATCGGCTATGACTTGTAAGGTAGAAGAGAGAGGGTTGGGAAAAAGAACGATTGTAATTTGGGAAAAGTGAATTTTTTCATTAACTTTTTTATTTATAGATTATTATTTTTTTATTTTTATATAATTGTTGTTATGTCATTTTGTAATCCAACTATGTCAAGGAACTTGGATAATGTAGCGGGACCCATCCGATAATGGGTACAACCTAAATCCAGTCTACATCACCAGACTAGAGGCAAACAACAATCATCAAGATCACAACACAAGATCTTGGCTAACCACAAGAAACAAATCAACAAAAACACAAAATTTTCCCCTTCACGTCACACACAAAACATACAGCCCAAATGTGCTCAAAATCCAATCTCCACCGTTCAAAACGAAGAGTACTAAGTGATGGACCTGCTGTAGAAATTTGGTGACGATCCAACGGTGAAATCGCCGGGAATCGGCGATTTTCTGGGACTGCGCAGTGCAGTTGCGGGAATGAATATGGGGTAGTGTTTGTTCTCGTTTTATGTTCTCGTCTCTGTGCAAAAAACCTACTGTTTTTTTTTTTTTCCTTTTATGAAAGGATAATGGGCCTTTGGCCCTTATTTAGTCCAAGCCAACAATTAGGCCGGACTCAACAAACTCCCCCTCCGGATCAAGTGGTGGGCTCCAACAAGCCCGCTCTTCGCCGACATACTTCAAGCTTCTCTTTCGGCAAAGTCTTCGTCATCATATCTGCACCATTCTCACTCGTGTGCACTTTCGCTAAGTGCAATTGTTTTGATTTGAGAACGTTTCGAATCCAGTGATACCTCACTTCAATGTGCTTGGACCTCGAATGAAATGACGAGTTCTTAGAGAGGTGGATAGCGCTTTGGCTATCACTGAACACAACATACTTCTCCTGGTGTAAGCCCAATTCCTCTAGGAATTTCCTCATCCACAAAACCTCTTTACAACCTTCTATAATCGCAATGTACTCGGCTTCTGTGGTAGACAAAGCGACACACTTTTGCAGCTTAGACTGCCACGACACGGCTCCCCCTGCAAAAATCATCAGGAATCCTGAAATGGACTTTCTGGAATCAACATCACCTGCCATATCTGAATCAGTATATCCAACTAACATAGGATCACCATCACCGAAGCACAAACATGCTCTTGAGGTACCTCTAAGATATCTCAATATCCACTTGACGGCTTCCCAATGTTCTCTTCCCGGATTGGAGAGAAAACGACTGACTACTCCAACAGCATGAGCAATATCGGGCCTGGTGCACACCATGGCATACATCAAACTGCCAACCGCAGACGCATAAGGAACTCGACCCATGTCTGCCTTATCTTTTTCACTTGTAGGGAGTTGCTCCGAATTGAGCTTGAAGTGACCTGCAAGTGAAGAACACACCACCCTTGCCTTGCTTATGTTAAACTTCTCCAGTACCTTCTCGAT